GCAAAAATGCTTTACATATTCGTGATCCGCTCGAGGAGATCTACATTATGATATATATCTCATCCCGAAACGTGGGGTAGGTTCGTTACCTTCCCTTGTGAGGGAATCGCTACATTATGCATAGCATACGTATACATGTACACAAATAAAGCAAGTCTTCGCTTTTGAATGATAGAATTGAATTCCGAATAAATTGATGAATTGCATTGGTAATGACGGACGAATTGAGCTGGTTGCATTTTTGCAGCCATCCAACACACGATTTTTCATCTAAACTTTTCGTTCAACTTCGACCCGACAAGGATATCGCTGTTGATCTGCACGTTAAGGCATTTATCGGCTACCCAGAAAGGTTTGTCTATCAACACTAAATGCAACAAGTCTAAAAATTCCTAAAATTTTATACTCTCATTTGTGAGAATTTCAAGAAGTTTCCTTTAAAGAATTGTTTTGTGTGTTAGTTACAGTAGAAATGTTTGCTTCGAAAGAGTGTTAATGAAATGAATATGGAATGACATAATTTGACAAAGGAAATGATTACATTTGTTGTTTTAATTGCTCGTAGGGAACGCAACTGAGGCGTGAAATTTTGATNTGAATTCGGTCGTTTTAATGAGAATCTTTCGAATTATCTGAACGAGCTGAGCTTTCCAATTTCAAATGAATACTGATGAATCGAACGTTTTTTGATGAATTGTGATTACTATGGTAAACACTTAATGTTAATTATGAAGATTCAGTTATCAATAATAGTACTGAAACAATATCATTACTGTCTAGAGATCAATATGATAATTTGATTTTGTGAGTCTGAAGTTGAAAGTGGTAATGAAGAAATTCATTATGATAGCAAGGCATACGATTGTATCAATAACTGACAATAATTCCATTGTATTTCAGTACACATTTACATGTTTTTGAATTGACTCGAGCGTTACCACGCTTTTCGATGTTTGCGCTTTGTAATGATACGGCACCTGCACCTGAAGGAAATGCCGTTTTCACAATTAATGAGCGACCTCCACGGGTTTGTTTTGCTTACATTGGACGGAACTCATCATTTAAACTCCCACGTAGTTTTGATTTCTTGATCGAAAGATCTATGGCAACCAATTGGTGGTGATAATGAATTTCTAAATTCGCATTCATATCGAGACATTATGGATAGGATGAAACAAAATAAATGAACGAAGCAAATTTTAAGTATTTTATCGATGCAACTAAAATTTCAGTTGGCCTCATGGATAAATGAAAACTTTTTGCTATGTGATGAGGTCGGATGTGAGGAGGATTGCACGTTGAGTGTGCGATTTTATAGCATGAGATCAGCTGGAATGCTCTTCATTGAAATGGATAACTCTGGAAAGGTGATACTATACTATCGTATTGTTTAATCATTATATAGAGTGAACTTTCATACTAATATAGATGGAATTGATTGATCCACATAAGAACTCATAGTTGATCGGGAGGAAAGTTTTATCCAAAAAAGATGGAGCCATCATTTTTAAGGGCTTTCGGCAGTGAGCATTATCACTCACGATAGAAATGTATATGTTTCGAAACTGACGAGATTTGGCTGATAAATGACTGTGTCACTGACTTTAAGGTAACGGTAAGGAACGACGATATGGAATTGGTTGGAAATGTGATACAAGCGATTGCTGAATACTTTCATATCACGAATATTACCACAATTGCCAGCTTTCCTAAGGCTATGAAGGCATTTAGTGAGCTCACCGAGAAGGTTCTTCCCATTATTCTTCTCAGATGAAAACTTTTAAAACTCTCGCATCAAAGTCTGCTTGAAATATTTCAACAAAGGTGGGGAACTCTGAGGTATTACGATATTCGCAGTGTAATGATGCCAGAAATGAAGTCCCGTACGATATTTTAGGGAAAATTTTGAGTTGCGCCATTTTTCAGCTTAATGAAATGTTCGCATTGAGAGATCAACTGGCGGCTGCAGTAGCTGAACGAGCAAATTCGGTCAAGGAAATGCTTGTTCGAGCCGAGGATGCCCGTATTATAGGACAGATGTTAGTTGGTAGCAGAAAAGATTCATTAAAAATTTGTCATTTTTTTTCAATTTTTTTGCCATTTCAATTTGTGTAGTTTCAGTTTCAAAGACTCTTTCTTTGTGTCCATCCAATTACTGCATTAAGGCAATCAGAAAAAACTCAATTTGCGCCGTGTTCGAATTTCAGACAAATGATGCGAAAATACTATGTAAAACTTCAAACCCTTAATCAAGCATTGGTTACCGATCAGATGGTACGATGTAATAATCATGAACAACTTCTGAAAACACTTCGTGAACTGAATAAAACAATCGAGAAAGGTGCACGACTCCGTGGTTAGCAAGTTCAGCTTCTTTAAATTTTTTTGGGAATAATCGAATATTTTTCAGAAGTTTCTGAATATCCCAAAAATCTGATATCCGAGATCAAAAATTGATTTCATTGTTTCAAAAGAAGATCTGAGAATATACTAATATTGCTTGATTGTGTTTTTGTTTCAGTTGGAGATCCGGCCAGTAAAGTGATCGCCGCATGCCGTAGCGCGATAGCAGAAGAGAATTTCGATATGTTACCGAAGATAATCCTTTTCGGAGTTTGAAAATTAGGGTCTCATTACTCGGCGGATCTCTTGATCCGGTCGAACCAGTGGTGCACTGATTCGCTCAAAGCCCTCAAAACACTCGTATCAATTGGTTGTGGGTATTCGAAGGCGATATCGAAAAATTCACAAATGATCTACATAGATTAAATCTTCGCAAATCGCTTCTTATTTGTTGCCCAAATAGGTTGTCGATCGGCCAGTGACCATATAAATAGGATAATTTCATTATCCAAATTAAGACGATGTGCTACTGATGATCGTATCCAATTAGAATGACATGAGTCGCGTTACGTATTGTAATATTGTACATTCATCTGTCAAGTAAACATTGAATGAACCTTATGAATGTGTTAATAACATCAACTTATGCAATACAA